GTGTGTGTGTGTGTGTTGGTGGCATCCTGCAGGCCTTGGATAAGCCCTGTGAGGAAAGGAGAGCCAGGAAGTGGTTGCAGGCAGTTTCTGTCGCAGCTGCAGAAAGGAAAGTCCGTGAGCTCACCCCTTTCCTGTAAAGGAGGGAGGGACGGGGGGGGGGCTTTGTTCCGCCCCTCCTCCCTGGGGGACAGAAATGACCCCCGACCCAGGGAGAATCCCCACTGTGCCTCCAGCTCTGCCCTTTCTTACTCCTAGGAGCATTGGAGTGATTACCTACATCTTGTAAGTACTTGAAGGTCTTTTTCTTGGTGGGGGAGGCTGGGGGGGGCTCTCAGCAGACTCTCAGGGAGGTGGGGTTGACTTTGGGGGCAGGCAGAGCACAGCCAGGGCCTCGGAGGGAAGGAAGGAAATGGATGAAATGGCTCAGATTCCCCCAAACTTCCCTGCCTTCCTTTGGAAGCAATCCCTCCATTGCCGCCCCCCTCCTTCTCTCTGGAGCAGGTTGGGGGTCGATCTGTGGTCCGGCGCGGTGGGCTCTGATGCTCCCCCAAATCCTCCCCCCCTCCCCAGGCTTAGCGGCACGTCCCCATTCCAGGGGGAGAAGGACGAGGAGACCCTCTGTAACGTGGTCTCCGGGAATTACGAGTTCGAGGCCAGGTATTTCAGCCAAACCTCCGAGATGGCCAAGGACTTCATCCAGAAACTCCTGCTGAAGGAGCCCAGGTAACCCCCCCCCGGCCCAGGGGCTGCCGACCCCTGACCCCAGGCCCTGCCCACGAATGCCCCGTCCGGAGAAGAAGGGGGAAAGAGGGCCCAGAGGGTGGAGAATGGCCTTCCTTGAGCAGAAAGTAAGCCCCCCCCAAAGGAAAGGAGGGGAGTAGCCCATATTGGCAGGATGGCCGTTCCCTCAAATGGGGTCTCTTCTCCTCTCCTGGCTCCCTTCTGCCCCCAAGGAGTCCTGCACGGGAGGAGGAAAATGGGTTTTGATCTGTGTCTTAGGGACCGAATGACAGCAGCTGAATGTCTCCTTCATCCCTGGATCAAGGTAAGCCTCCCTCTCTCCTTTCTTTCCTTCCTTCCTTCCTTCCTTCCTTCCTTCCTTCCTTCCTTCCTTCCTCCCTCCCAATTTTTCTCCTTCTGCCCCTCCAGCCCCTCACCCGGAAGCAGGCCGTGAACCGGAGCCGTTCTTCCATCAACATGAAAAACTTCCGCAAATTCAACGCCCGCCGGAAGTGGAAGGTGAGATCCATCCATCCATCCATCCCAGGCTCAGCAACAGAGGAGCGGGGCAGCCTGCCTGATGGGCAGCGTAGTCCCAGCCTCATCCTCTCTCCTCCCTCCGCAGCTCTCCTACAACATGGTCTCGGCCTGCAACCGTTTCTGCCGGCTGCAGCTCCTGTGCCAGCAGCAGAAGCCGGACGAGGAGGTGACGGCCCTGGTGGGTGCAGAGGAGCCCCCCCCTGGCTGCCTTGGGGGTGGGGGGGTGGGGGAGGGCTGCCTGCCCCCCTGACCTTCTCGCCCCCCCTCGCTCCATGCTGCAGCGGGACTGCGAGAGTGACCAGGAGGACCAGCCCAGCAGCCCGGGGGTCTTACTCCGCAGGCGTCGAAGCATCTGCTCCTGAGTTCCACCCTCCGTCCTTCTGCTCAGAGGCCAGCATGAGAGCGTCCTCTCCTGTCACCGGGGAGACCCCCAGAAGGAGGCAGCGCTTGGCTCTTCTGCGTGGCCAGAAAGGGGGGCTCCGGCTGTTCAGTGCAGTGGGGGGGGGTCCTTCCATATTCCGCCTGGGGGATCACCTGAGCCCCTCCTCCTCTGCATTTTGGCCCCACACGACGCCCCCCACCATAGCTGCCTAGAACAGCCTCCCTGGGGGCCCCCAAGAGGAACGGAGGCTCCCTTTTCAGATGGGAGTTCCTGGGAGTCTCTGCTCTGCTTGACTCGGGTTTCTGTGGCTGTGGGAAAGGCCCCTTCTAATGCAACTGGGAGGGGCCCCTTGCTGCTCCCCACCCCGGCCCCGGGCTCCCCCTGCCTCCTTTGGAGAACAGTCCTCAAACATCTGACCAAGGACAGCCACGAGGAAGTGCCTGGCTGGTTGTAACTTTTTTTTTTAATAATAAAATATTTGTCAAAAGGGGAAAAAGCACCATGAGAAGGAGATGCATGTGGTTCTTTTTCTGTTTCACCGGTTTGAATTCAAATGGGAACATGGTCACAGCGATGGGGGGGGGGGGGTTGAGTGTGATTGATTCAAGGAGAGGCAGAGCGAGGACAAGAGGCTGGCCAGGAGCCAAGAAACCCCCCCAAAAAAGGTCTCTTCCTCCCCCTCCTCCTCCTCCTCCCTCCAACATACACAATTCCAGCTGGCTGCAGGGCCAGGGTTGGCCACCAGGGGGCACCCACCCCCAGTGCTGAGTGCTCTTGTGCCAACTTCCCTCTCTGGGGGAAATGTGCCAATTGCCTTCCCCAGCTGACCCACCGGGCAGGATCCAGGCCTCCACTGGCTCAGCCGAGAAAGGAAGCCTCACCAGCTGAGTGCCAGAACACTTGGCTTGCTCATGGGGGGGGAGAGGAAAACCCCCAAATTAGAAGGCACGGGCACCCTGGCACAACGTCCTCCTAGCTTCCAGATGCCCCATATCCAGAGCAGTGGTGAAATTCAATTTCTTTTTACTAGAGGTTTTGTGGGCGTGGCTTGGTGGGCATGGCAGGGGAAGGATACTGCAAAATCTCCATTCCCTCCCTCCATTCCCCAGCCAGAGGTGGCATTTGCCGGTTCTCTGAACTACTCAAAATTTCCGCTACCGTCTCTCCAGAACCTGCTGAATTTCGGCCCTGATTCAGGAGAAAGGGTTCCTCCCAGCTCTCCCCCAGCCTCTGTCCTGAGCCCCCCACTTTTTTTCACCCCAAGGTTCCCCCTGCTGAGCTGGAAGGCCTTGGGTGCCTTGCCTCTCTGGCGACGAGGGAGGGGTCACCTTGGAGTGGGAAGCCAGGGGTGTGCTCCCTTTCTCTGTGTTCCTCAAGCACATTGCCCCCCCCCGTCTCCAAATTCCTCCCCTGGAGGGGTGAGGGGAAGTGCCTGTGGCTCCCCCTCCTTATTGACCAAACACAAGGCAGCCCTGGAGGGTCTCAGCCCATCTTGCTGGAGTTGTCAGGCTAAATATTTTGAAGGCAACAGGTCAAAACAGCCCTTGGAACGCATCCAGGCAGGGCTGGGGGGGGGCGTGCACGAGGGAGGAAGGAGGCCCGGCCCCACCCAGCTGCCTGCCACACCTGGACTGGCCAGGCCTCCATTTTCCCAGCCCTTTCGCTGCGGTGTGACCGTGCCAGAGGATGCTTGTGGTCGGGGACAAGGGCCTCCTGCCTCCCTGCGCCACACAGACAGCAGGGTGCTGCTCCTCTCCCTTGTGCCCAACTGGCACCGAGCGGTAGTCCTGGGCTGCTGCCAGCTGAGAAACCAGCCTGGTCCTGACAACCACCCGAAGCACTGCGGGCTGCCCTGCCACCTGCGACTCGCTTTCCCGGGCACGCCGGGACGTTTATGGACCATGGAGAAGAAGGGGAGAAGGGGAGTCCCCGGTGCCCCCCTCTGGCCCACCTGGGCGGCCCTGCTCTTCCTCTGCCTGCTGGGGCTTGGCCCTGCACCAGCCTCTTCGGAAAGTAAGTCCCCTTCTGGGTTGAGTGAGGTCAGCCTCCGGCCAGGCACAAAGGCACCGGACTCGGCTGCCCTCCCCATCTGTGGTGCCCTGTGGCCACGTCTTGGCACAGGGCAGGGTGGCTGGGGGAAAGCAGAGCTCGATGGAGCAGGGCTGGGTCAGCCTACAGGGGGCATCCACGGGTGGCTCCGTCCCCTGGGTGCCGGGATTTGGGAGGGCATCCGAAGCCAAAACTAGCCATGATGGTGAGCTTGGCTAGTGGCTCTTCTCAGAGGGAAGCCCTTCAAATGTTTGTCTGTCTGTGTGGGAGAAACTCTGGGCAGCTCCTGAAGGAAAAGATTCCCTTGGAGATAATGGCATCTGGGCTCCCCTGAGAGAATTGGGGGTTGTAATACAGGGGGGGAAAAGCAGCCCCTCCCCCCATTTGCCTCTACCGAGTAGCCCCCTTGCAAACCTCGGTTGAAAGTTGTTCCCTGGCTGAGGGTCAGCCCTTGGCTCCTCTGCTGATCACCCTAGAAGAGAGGACTGGATGAGTCCTTTGCAGTTGGCATCTGAAACGGGAGGGGGGTCAAACTCTGCAAAGGAAGAGCCGTTCTGCTTCCCCCCCCCCCAAGTGGGCTCTCAGAGCGAGGGGTTCCAGCAGCCCCTCTGCTCAGAGGTGGCCCTGGAAGGTGGTTTCTTCACCAAGGGAGACGAAATCTGTCCTGGGGGAAGGAAGGAAAAACTCTTCTTTGAGTGGGGGGGGGGGTTGGAGCAGGAGCCAGCAATCTCGTTT